TTGGAGCTCTCTGCTGATATCTTAGAAGTAGTTGCACGTTTTATCCATGCATAAATGTAGGAAAGAGAACATTTCACGAGACAGTAATTGAAGTTAGACTATCGCTTAATCGAAAATCTCATACCGTTCTAAAATTCTGCCAGTATTTTACCTGCCGCCATGCTTTCGCAAATAATAGGACATCTTTGCGTAACATTCCATATAGAAGGGCCGCTAATTGCCTCGTGTATGCACCCTAGGCGCGCGACGTCGCTACAAAAGAAGGCCTCATTAGCGAACAAAATAACGGAACGGTCGTTTCGTTCTGGATTATTATTTGTTATTGTTTTTCTTACGTAACTGTTTTATGAAAATTCCGAAGCGAATTTTGCAGCGATACGTTAAAACCGTTGAAGCTATCCCACTCATCTGCGCGTAAGATATAATTTGCATTCCTTTCCCGAATTCGCAAAGCCCGGGCGCTGAAAGACATGAACATAAATGCAAATTGGATTCCTCGTTTTGCCGTACTAATTACCTACCTAGAGAAAACTCACGCAGTTCGTCCTGCCAAGTATTTATCGTTTGAATACCCTTTTTGAGCCAAGCACGTTTTATTAATCTTGCCTTCGTTTTTTGTGACGAAAAGATAATTAACAATTAAATCCAAATTTGATGTAGTTTTTTTATACGTTCCCCTTCTTTCTGTCTTGCCATTTTATCGGATACAAAGATTCAAATAAAAAAATATTGTAAACAACGAAAAGAAATTTTCGCAAAAATATTCAGTAATGTTAGAAAACAAATACATCGACCAGAAAACCATAAGCAAAGTTGCAACTGGTAACTTTTTTTCATAACACTCTGTTAACATACTTTTAAAATGTTTTGAGTGGTTTTTCACAAAAAAACAACGACATAACAACAAAAAAAAACATTTCCCAGGCCAACAAAACTAACAAAAACTAAAAGGGAGAAGGAAATATCAAAGATTATAAGTATTAGGTGTAGTATTTATTTAAAATATACCACATGGAAGTTGACATTTCCATTAGCGGTTTCTGCATTGTTGTATTGAAATTACACTATCTTGATATACATGATTATAAAATAAAAATGTACCATTATGGTGTATTTAAAATAAACTCCTGTTCCTGCTTTACTGTCATAATTCAAAGCTTATGATTGTTATGTAAATACACAGACATAATTAAGGACGCTAAGTGAATTGTTTATAATTTATTGCCTCAAAGTTTAATGAATTTTATGTACAATAGTAAAAAAGAATATAATTTTTCATCATAGAAGAAGCAATTTTCCTTTGTTCTATGAAAATATTTATTAGGCTATGAATTTTTCATTCCATAAAATAGGCAAATAGAAAGAAAATAAAAAACTTGAAAAAGAAACAGAAAAATCAATTTATTTAAAATCAACGTATTTATTATTAAACCTACTTTTCACTCGTATATTCTGGTGTGATGATATATTATTTTAGGTTGACTTATATCGTACATTTAATTGGTTCCTTGTTATTTTTCTTGGAAAGATTTCTAACCACAACCACAAATTTTATTGGGAGTTTAAAATTATATACTGCACCATCATGTTATTCTTATTTGCGTTAGCATACAGATTTAATCATTAAGTATAGCCCTTCAAAATAGTGCAACTTTCGTACTTTGTATTTGTGAGAGTTTGTTTGACCAAGCCCTTCAATATACTATGATACTATGGTAAATTGAAACTGATAATTTCTCTCAGCGTAATAATCGTAAATAGTTACAGTTGCCACTGCTAAATAATTAACCCGTTGAATTCAAAGGTGCCAACGTATTGTCTCGTTTCTGTGGGGTATGTATTCTGTGATCTTAAGAATACTTCTTAAAATTACGGGCCGTTGGGACGTGAGACAGGAACACTAGCCCAAAAATTAGAATACATTTTTTTAGCGAATGTAAGGTGCGTTAAGTCCGTCCGGTTATAACCTATTTTAATAACTGACATACATAGCATGTCTGAGCATCATGTAAATAATGAAGACGTTCTAAAAAGTGTAAATCTTGAAAATTTCATCCTGCAGAGTTGCTAGTGTAGAAAAAGCACCACCAAAGGTGGCTGTGCAATATATGTAAAAACTGATATTAAGTGTGGGGCATTAGATCTTGATAAATATTGTGTAGATTTGCATGCCGAATTCTGCGGTATTGTGTTCCCTACGATCGATACAGTGGTTATAAATGTTTATCGTTTTGGTTCAAAGGGTGTTTTTAATACCTTTCACAACATACACCCTTTCGGCCAACCACGAATTGTCATATTGCTTTCACGCATGGAATTTTTTTATTTTTCTATCCTAAAACTGTTTATACGATTTATTTATCCACAAACACAAGTTGTCAGCGAAAATCTTTCTTTTTTTCTTTTGTACTACTGACGCGCCATTTGTTGTAAAGACTTTTCATGTAAAAAATGATGGCTAAATAAATCTATCTATCTATCTATTAGAATTGGGACATAATTCCGATCATACTTCGGCAGGTACAACGGCCTGGTGGAGCCGTGTGACGCCGGCTTAATCAAAAGCCCCACAGTTGCGCCAGTCCAGGCGTTAAATCCCCGTGATGGATCACCCGGGGGTCCGACGAAAAAGAAACGTCTAATTTTCGTCATAATTTCGACCGTCACGCTCAAAACTTACGGCGAGGTGACATCTTAATAACGTGTCGGCCGTTACTTTTTTTTCTCGCTCGACTCTCGGGCCGTTTTTAATTGGAGCGCAACTCCGCCACTTTCGGTGATAACGTTTCCGTCACGGAACTGTTATTAAGTTATATCACGGATCGGTTATTTATTTTCCTCCGGGAAACTTGTGCGAACGGACTGTTATTTTATTTTCGCTTAAAACGAAGACCGACAAATAGCGAATCCAAGAGGGGATAGAATAAATAAATGTCAATATAAAAAACTCTAGTGTGGAGTAGGGTTGCCAACTTTTTCGGATGAAATATAGTATTTTTAGAATTAAAGGTAAAAAATAATATAGCAATTTTTTTTCAGTACAAAATACTTTATATACTTTGCAACAATGTAAATAAAAATTGGTATTTATTAAAAGATAGTTTTATTATTTGTGAACGACGTTTGATGATAATATTTTTCAGTACTATTTTTTTTAAACACTATATAGTACGCTAACCTGAAAGATGTTACAATACTATATAGTATTCAGTCAGCAACCCTAGTAGTGTCCCAAACTTTTTATTTCATCAATTAGAATTCTACACTAACTACATGTATCTCCTAATACGGCCTAAAATTTTCACTAATTTATTTATTTAAAGAAGTCTACCTAACAGGTATGAAGCCCAATTAACAAGTAGGTTTTCGTACAAATTATTAAATAGTTACAGAGGCATTGCAATTAATAATGATATCACGAAACGTAGCGTAGAGTCTAGCCCATCAAAAGCATTAACTAATAAAAAAAAAACAAGAGAATAGGAAAAGACTGAAATCAATAATTATAGTTAATGAGGCAATAATGTTTTAATTTTGATAATAGATTGCGAAAAAAAGTCCAAAAATTTTAAAATATTTTTCCTTGATGTGGGCAGAAAGAATGTGTTACTATTTCTAGAGTTAATACGAGGAACCAGAAACTTTAGTCCATCTAATAGGTCAGAGCAATCAAACAATAACAAACCAACCAAAATAAATATTGGTAATCCAGGTCATTAATATGACAGCCGTACCCAGGAGACCAAACTACTTATGCATACTGCAACTTAGAGCGGTAAGAAAAACTATAGGTTTTCCGTAGAATGCAGTGCCGTAGATTTTTTTAAAACACATTTACCGTTTATGAGCAATAAACAAATTTTGTTGGAATATCTGTATATTTACAGACCATAAAATTTGTCATTTGTTAACATTACGAAAATATGTGGTATAGATTGTTATCGCACTTTGCCAAAAAAACGCAAATAACTGACAAATTTCTAAAATTTAATTGAAAACACAAACACAAAATTTTATGTTTAATAAAATATGAACTTTTTAGATAATAACAGAAATAAGTAGAATACCCAGTTATATATCTTCACAGATATAAAATAAATCCAAATACGTACAAACTTATGTTTTTCACTAATACAAACCAAAGTTTGGTTTGTAATTCGCTAATCCGCAAAGAAGTTTTCAAAAAATAACTGAAATACGAGGGAGTTCAACAAATTGAAAATTTTAAAAATCATTTCGTGTCTCGAATATTTGGGGAGCCGTAGAAATTTTATTCATTGATTGTTACGAAAACCATAACTTTATATTTTTTAAAATAACGGAGATACCTCGCAAAATTACTGGTATAAGAGAAATTGGGAGATTTCCTATTGCAAGCAATTTAAAGTTTTAATTAGACTAATATATTAATTTCTTTTATACTATTTAAACAATTCGCCTTCAATGGCGTACATTTCTCAATGCTTGTCATAGTTGCTTGTGAAAATGTTCATTATTATTTATCGCCTCAATTAAGAAACGAATTGAGTTTTGGCAATATTCGAAATATCTGGTCGCGGTTTTATATGAAATGAATCATCAAATTGTTTGGCAACGCGGCAAATTTTGCGGCCGCACGAGAATCTTGAAAGCTCACTCTCTATTTGCAATTACAACGCCAACAAGGTATCGCAAATGAATATCTTTTCGTACGACGTACGAAATACGCTGATCGAAAATCGGTTTAAACAAATTTCACTGCCGTATTAATGAACTTAATAGCAGATAGCAGTTATCATAGACACGCCGCTGCCAAGGTTAACCTAATTATAATTTGATATAATTAAAGTAGTCGTGGTTTACCAATGCGCCGCTACCTTCTCTCGCCTTTTTTAGCAATTACAGAAACAAATAGTATTTTAACTTCACCGGCACTTAAATATTCGTAATATTAGCTCGAATATATTCGGCACCGACGTAAGGGCGCATTTACACTGGGTAAATCGGAAAAATCAGCTCACCCGTGACGGGAGCCTCGATGTCTATCATCGTCTTTTCTGCGCGCAGTAGCTGCGCTCCCTCGTTAATGATGCGCAGCGCTGCAGCTTCATCGATGCGGCCTTCGAGGACGAAATGCTGTTTCAGCACCTCCGTTTGCGGTTTTTGAGTCCGGGGCTCGAACACTTCGGCTACTGTCAACTTATGGCTCGGGGGAAACGGTACGGCTGCAACCAAAGGCGATCCAATAGTGAAAAAAAAAGACAATCCGTTCTTAGTACGAATGCCACTTACTGAGCCCGCAACTCATCGTACATGAAATCTCTTTAAAATTGCCAAAAATATTAAAGCTTAAAGCATTATAGCATTTTATTTTATTTTTTTTAGGAAAAAAGATAGCCTTGAAAAAGGGTAAAATCACACTTAATATTTTTTTGTATAACTTATCTCCGTTTTAGTTGTTTTCTATTTAATGTTAGATGTTTTCTGGGTTTTACTTTTGATTGATTGATTTTAGATTCTTGATAATAGGGCCCCGTCGCTTTTTTATTGTTGTATACTTTCTGATAATGTTATAATAAAATTAATGTTATTATGTTTCAAACATCAAAACAACCGTCAATTTAAGCACCTAAATTCTAAAGTGTGATTTAAAATTATTAAGGTGTTGTAGATGACCATAAAACCACTTAGACTAGAATATGATATTATGTGTGAATTTAAAATAAATAATAACTTTTGAAAACTAAAACATCGCGAAAAAAAAAAGAATTGAATACATCATCATCGAAAAAACAAAGCTCTGAATTCAAATTTTAAATGAGCGATTTTATGTCTGTTAAAAAGTTGCAATAGAAAACTTGTTTACCAAATCAAAATAATACATATAGAGAAGATATTGCAATTTTCAAAATTAGAAATTTTTTAATCTTCCATCGAATCTCGGACACTAGAGGTGCTATTCAAGAGCTAATGTACCATTTTTCAAGTTTCAAAAAAATGATGTGCAAATGGCATCTGTGTATCTTCAATAATAAAGAAGCTTCCGGTAAGGAAGCATTGAAAATGAAACACATTGTACATAGTCATAACAATAATAAAAGAGGATAAACAGCGGCATCAAAAATGTTTAATAAAAAGGTGATACAATAAATCATTAAAATTGACTTAATATTATATTTTAGTCAAGAGTTTGATTTGGCACCAGCGGAGGACAACAGAGCGAGTGCTTAATAAACGATACTCTTTTTATGGCATTAGTTAGTCAGAATTGCCAAATGTCAAAATATCATCAGTGGCTTAAAATCCACGGAAAATCGGTCGCTGCCAAATAATCTTTAGTTATTTCTCTTTAGTCATCATCTATTTAAAATGCGCAAGAATCTTGAGTTTGGGAGTAGAATTAAGGGAGTACGGTTTTTAGTTGTACCACAACTTCAAAGTTTGCGTTGCAAATCATCTTCCGTAAAATAAATTGTTTAGAAATGCTCCAAAGCGGAGTTGATTGCAAACCCATTGTCGTGAAACCTGCGCTTATTAGATTATACGATTTCATTTTCAATTCAGCTGCAGCGAGATACGTAATTTTCCTGCCACAATAACGAGACGAACACGACACGGTATAGAGTTGCATGATTTTTTCAGATCCAAGGTACCCTTCTGTTATAAGTTTAAATCATTAAAGGTATATTATGCAACAAGTTTAATAGACACCACTTTAATCACGAGTTAGTTACGGAGGGAGTACTTAATAAGCGAGTGTCTGATGACGTTTAACAAGGTGCCGGGCAACGGTGGTTAACGATATTGACGTTTAAAAGAGACACTTTGAGCACTCCTGATTAGTGCATAATTGCGCAATGTAGGAAGAAAACTAGAAAAAACATTTTCCATAGGTGCGTGTTTTGTAATGTATTAATAAGAAATACCAAACGACCTTTTGAACCTAAATAATGAAATCATCCCATTTATAACCACTAACTTAAAAAATAAAATAATCAAATGTCAGACATTCTGACTGCAATTAGTCCTTTCAATCAGAGTGGAGAAAACTATGATCAATTATCTACTAAAAGAGACATGAAAAAACAAAATGTTGCCTTCATCCGGGTGGAACCACAACTTCTTGTGCGATAACTGTTATCGATCGCGATCATATTTACCATTATTGTCTTATCGATTGCTACAAGGAATAATTGAACACTCGTCATTCCATACCATTCTCACAGGTAATTAAGCCGAAAAGTTTTTGTTCTACCGTCAATTAGTTTGTCACTGCATGATCAAATGAAGGACGTCGTATTTTTCTGAGTGTGTCATTATGTAGGAAAATTATTTGGTCTTTGGCTTTTTTAGTGTCTTATGTATTTCCAATTCCTTCTTCATTTGAAGGAGTCGTTCTTTGTTTCTTCCTCTTCCCATACATCCATGTTAATATCCAAGCTTCCATTCCATGGAGAACCGGGGAGACGTATCATCTTCAAATCTGGATTCTCAGCTGTAATCTTACATCGTGCCTGCATAGAACTTTTCCCCTCTCTCAATCAGAATTTTGGGTTTCAAAGGACGAGCTATGCCGCTGTCTTCTGGGCATCATAATATAATTGTTCGCTTTTCACTGTCAGTTGAATCATTAGAGTTTGGAGGTTCTCATTGCTGTTTGTCAGTATTAACGTATCATGCTTCTAACTAATATCTAACTAATATGGACGAAATGAGCTGGCGTTAGAAGTAACACATTTAAAAATATGAGATCTTGATAACATAGTAGACCCTTCAATAATAATGAGAGAATAGGACAACTCCTCATATGGGAAAAATATTACATTTGTTAAATCTGTAATAAATTATATATTACGTATATTATTATAATATGCACAGGGTCTCTGGGCATTAGTGTTGGGACTGGTCAATTGACCACTTCTTAATTGACTGGTCAAAAAATATTTTAACTACCATCTTGCAATAGTAGAGTGATATGATATCTATCATTATTTAATAATAATATGAATTTTATAATAAATTATTATGCGTTTGCTATGTCCAATTTAACCATAATCCTCTTCAAGGAATATCTGAATATCAACTCCATTTGGTTCCCAGAACGACGCGATGGCGGCATATGCACAATATAAAAAAACGTAAATAAATAAATATAAATTTCATGGTATTTTTAAAATTATTTCGGTCAATTGAAGGATCAATTTATTTATTTAATTTAACAGAAGATCCAGGCGGTTGAAGTAAACCCTAACCCTAAAGTATTAAGTATTTCTTGATATAAACCACAATAAAGCCCTGTGAGTGTCAAAATAATTTTATTAACCATAAATATTAAATTTTATGTAACACATTTCATTTTACATCCCATACATACGTCTTTCTCGGCTATAATTATTGTTATTTGCAAACTATCTAAATTGACCGAAAACTAAGTGGTCCTGCCTATATTTGATAAAATGGTGCATATTTCAATAACAAATTATTCAATTTTGCATAAATTATTGTGGGGTCGCCCTGTCGTCTTCACTGCCGTCGGCACCCTTTTATCATCTTAGCGACTTGCCGTCGCATCATTCACATAGAACGATACCGTCGGCGTTCTATTAGTTCTATTAGTTTTATATTACTTTTAGAGGCCCACGTTTAGTTAGGCTAGGGTCATTCAGTTTATTAAAGAGCTTTGAATGTAACATTACAAATCTTCGCCGTGCATGTAATGTTTAGATCGAACTATTAAATGTATTAAAAACAAGTAGTATGTATTTCATAAGGTTCCCAAAGGTGCGCAGATTTATTAAAAAATATATCGCAGCGTGCAGTCACTGTTTATACCACAAACAACCGGGTGGTAAAAAGCCACAACACCTTCACCCAATACCCAAATATGCACGACCTTATCACACACTCCATGCAGATCATCTTGGACCATTTGTTAAGACAAAAGGTGGAAATAAATATGTATTGGTAATAATAGATGCTTTTACAAAAATAGTTTTTTAAAAAGCATTTGAAAACAGACGCCGGAAAATCACTTGTATCACAAGAATTTAGTCACTATACTGCAGTAACCCACCACGGCAGTTGGCATGGCGAGAGGAAATGGACAGGTCGAAAGAGCAACAGCACGAAACATCGTATAACGCAAACAACACCCAGTGAATTGTTTTTCGGCTACAAATTAAGAGCAAATTGTAACAAATATGTCAGTGATGATGAAGTGAACACCATAGACGTTTCTTCATTAAGAAGGGAGGCAGCTAAAAAGCTTGAAGACAACAGAATCAAACAAAATGAGCTATTTAACAAAAAAAGAGGATCGCCAGTTGAATTTGTTGTAGAGGACTTAGTTTTGACTAAGATTACTAGTTTTCCAGCAAACCATAATGAAAGCAAAAAGCTACTCGTCAAATACAGAGCACTTTTTAAAGTGATTGAAGTTTTACCTAATGACAGATACGGGGTCAAAGAAGACATTCATTCCACTAGGATTACACGACGTGCGTACGAAGCCGTAGTAGCCAGTGAACACATGTATATAATAGTTAAGTTTTGAATTTCTGATTCACCTGTGACGTATCTGACGTGCATAAATTTAAGTGTTGAAGTTCTGATTCAACTGTGAAGTATCTGACGTACACAAACGTAAGTGTTGAATTTCCGATTCAACTGTGACGTATCTGAGTACACAAATTTAAGTGTTCAATTTCTGATTCAACTGTGACGTATCTAACGTACACAAATTTAAGTATTGAATTTCTGATTCAACTGTAACGTATCTGACGTACACAAATGTAACTTTTGAATTCCTGATTCAATTGTGACGTATCTGAAGTACATAAATTTAACTTTTGAATTCCTGAGTCAAGTGTGACGTATCTGACGTACACAAAGTGAAGTTTTGAATTTCTGATTCAATGGTGACGTATCACAAATTCAAGTTACAAAGGTTCGAATTTTGATTCGATTGTTACGTAGTGGATGTACATATATCTATGTGATAAATTTGGGCAACGGTGTTGAATATTGTTTGGGTTTCAGTTTGTATATCATGGGTGATGATGGTACGCTCGAGGACGATCGTGTGGTCACATGGTCATATGGTAAGTACTATTAGTTTTATATTACTTTTTAGAGAGAGTCCCACGAAAGGATAAAGTTAGGCTTGGTCATTCAGTTATTAAAAAGCTTTGAACCTAACAGTACAACTCTTCGCCATGCATGTAAT